GAGAGCAGCCATGAGAAGGGCAAGGGGGAACTGACTGGGTAGCTACGCAGAATGGTGCTGTGTTGGGCAACACTGGGGGGTGGCAGGAGTGTGGGTGCGTTGGGGCCAAGTGCCTGGGTCCAGCGCTGCCCTGGTGCTGAGGGTACTGCCTGTTGTTCTCCCCTTGAAATAGCTCCCCAGAGCCCTGCGCGTCTGTCCAGGCCAGCATTGGAAGGAGCCTCACCTGCCTACCTCTGCTGAGTACCTGGGATTTGAGGTAAGAAGTCTCCAAGATCCCCTCTCACAAGCAGGCCACAGTGCCCTGGCACAGAGGCCAACCTGGTGCTCCCTGAGTAGGAGAGGACCAGTGGCCAGGCTGCCCTGTGGAGAGCCTGAGATTAGGTTCCTGAGCTACTTGTGGGGTGCTCACCTCCCTGGGTGCTGTCCTCCTCACAGGGCTGCCCTCACTCTCTGGCTTTCACACAGGAAGTGCGGGTGACCACAGGTTGGTAGCTTCTTGATAGGTGTGGAGGTTGGTGGCTCTGGACTGGGTTACTTCCAGCAATGGTGAGGCATCTCCAGGACCTAGATGGAGCCCAGTGACCACTTCCCAAAGGAATTGGTCCCAGCCCATCAGCCCTGCTCCACCCAGAGCACAGAGATTTATGTGGAGGAGAGTAAAAAGTGACATGAGCCTCAGGGCAGGGAACATCTGCAGGAAGAGCCATGATAGGCCCTGTGTGCTTGGGCTCAGCAGGGCCAGCTCTGAGGACAGTCACACACCTTGTGCAACAGCCTCCCATCACAGACCAGTGCCCGACTGCCTAGTAGGGGGGCTGGGAGCTTAGCTCACGTCTGGGTTTTCCCTTCAGGTCCCGGAAAAGCAGCCAAGATGTCAAACGAGCCGCCCCCCCCTTATCCTGGAGGCCCCACAGCCCCCCTTCTGGAGGAGAAAAGTGGAGCCCCGCCCACCCCAGGTAGAGTTCAGCACTCCTGGTGGTCCCATCCTTGCCTGTCCCAGCTGCTAGAAGCCAGTGCCTGGAGCAGGCCTCCCACCCACAGGGCGGCTGGGGCCCTCTGAGCTTCCCTTCCTTGCCTCTCTCCGTCCAGGCCGCACCTCCCCAGCCGTGATGCAGCCCCCACCGGGCATGTCGCTGCCCCCTGCAGACATTGGCCCCCCACCCTATGAGCCTCCAGGTCACCCAATGCCCCAGCCAGGCTTCATCCCCCCACATGTGAATGCAGATGGCACCTACATGCCTCCAGGTAAGTTGGGAAGGGATCTGAGGGGAACGCAGAGGTCCACCCAGCCCAGCACCCAGTGCATCACCTGGGCTGCTGTCCAGCCTTTGCTGCAGGTGGCTGGTCTGTCTGTGCGGGTGTTTACTGTAGGGGCAGGGGGGCTGATTGTGGCATGGACAGTGGACATGGGAAGATGTCATAGAACAAGGTGCTGCTGTGCAGGTGCTGTGGGCGAGCCAGAGGAGCCTGGAGCAAGGCTGGCTCCTGGGAAGGCCCCTCAGACAGTGGTAGGTGCTAAGGACTCATGGGTGCTACAGGGGCCTCTGCTTGCCAGGGACCTGGGTCCATGGTGGAGGCCTGGGCTCCTGCTCACCCAGCTGCTCTTCAGAGGAATTGCTCAGGCCGGTGAAGGGCCCAGGGCTCTTGCACAGGCAGCCCCGGGTCAGGTGAACTGGTCCGTGCACTCCAGTGCAGGACCTGAGACTGGTGGGGAGGAGAATCCTGTGTGTATGAGAGGGGCTGGTGAGCGGTAAGGGTTTCCCTCCTGTGGTCGAGGTCCTTGAGCACAGTGTCCAGTCCCCTGCGTGTCAGAGGCAAGGGAGCAAACGCATCAAGCTGAGCCTAAGGAGAGGAGAGATGGGGCCTTGTTCCCAGCACTCGGGCATGTCTGGCTGGGCCAAGTAGCCTTTCTGTCTTGGTCTCCATGGGGCAGGGACCAGGAAGGGCTGGGAGAATGTGGATGGTCACTTTGGCCCAGGGCCGCGCCTCTGAGACCTCACCCTGCATCCTGGGGGCCTTGGGGCTTTGTGCTTACATCTCACATGGGGCAGATGGCAAGCCAGTGACCCATCTTTGCTCTGTCTCCTGTGCCGTTCCAGGTTTCTACCCTCCTCCAGGCCCCCATCCACCCATGGGCTACTACCCGCCAGGGCCCTACCCACCAGGGCCCTACCCTGGCCCTGGGGGCCACACAGCCACAGTCCTGGTCCCTTCAGGAGCTGCCACCACGGTGACAGTGCTGCAGGGAGAGATCTTTGAGGGCGCACCTGTGCAGACGGTGTGTCCCCACTGTCAGCAGGCCATCACCACCAAGATCTCCTATGAGATCGGCCTGATGAACTTCGTGCTGGGCTTCTTCTGCTGCTTCATGGGGTAGGTGGTGTGGGTGCTTGCAGGGTGGGGGCCTCGCCTACCCACCACCACGCTGGAATAGGCCTCGGCCCTCGGTACCTTCTCTTCAGGTTTCCCCATGTCTCCTTGTCTCTGATGCAGGTGTGATCTGGGCTGTTGCTTGATCCCCTGCCTCATCAATGACTTCAAGGATGTGACGCACACGTGCCCCAGCTGCAAAGCCTACATCTACACGTACAAGCGCCTGTGCTAACGGAGCCAGGACTGGACTCCCTGCTGTCAGTCTGGTCCCCCATGCTTTGCTCCCCGTGCTCAGTGGCTTTACTTCCCCGCTCCCACTTGGGGGTGGAAGCCATTCCGTTCCACCAGTCCCCTGGAAGTCTCGTCCTCTTCGCCCTGCTCTTCCCTGAGCATCTGACTCTTCCAGCAAAAATTCCGTTGGATTTAAGGCCAAGGGTCAGCGAGTGGCAGAGGGATGGCACTGAGCTTGTGTGTTGCTGGTTTGCTTGGTGTTTGTGTTCAGGAAGATAAGCTGGGAAGGGTCTCCTTGCAGTCTCCCTGATGGGGTCTCATGCCTCCATTTCTGTACGAAGTACTGGTTTGGTCCTGATTCTCCTTGGGACCAAAAGCAGCCAGAGCAATGGTTGGTTCCCCAGACTTGGGGCCTGCAGTGGAGCTGTGACTGTAGCCATAGCCATTTCTGATCTGCTGGGCTGAGAGCGGGGAAATGGACTCAAGCAGGATAGGGTCATAAGGCCTGGGTTTATTTCTCGAGTGCTGGAGGCAGGCATGACAGTCAGAAGGAATGACCCTGGTCCTCAGAACTCTTAGTAACTCTAACACCTTGTCCAAGTGCTCAGGAGCCACCTGGGGTTAAGGTAGAGAGGCAACACACCTGTAGGTCCTGGGGTAAGTGATTGGGCCTTGTCTTGCGAAGAAGGGACTTGCCTCTGGCCCCTACCCAGCTTCCTTTCTGGCCACGCTTCTATGAACTCATCTTTGCTGGGGCCAAAAAGAATGCCCAGAAGCCTAGCCCATCTGTCTATACCATGTCCTTGCTGCATGTGGGCACGACCTCTGCCCGGTAGCTGGTGTGTCTCAGCTGGGACTGGAGATGGCAGAGAGGAGGGGCCTCCTTGTGGGCACACTCAAATTTGCAGTACGCTCTCCATGGATCCTCTTCCCGGTAAATGTTGGACCCTTCGCCCTGGCTGGCTTCACTGTCTCTGTGCTTGCTCCGACAGCAGGCACTGGGGCAGGAGCAGCTGTGGCACTGTACTGGGAACAGGCTGGGGATGAGGAAGGAGCAGCCACTAGTGGTGGAAGTGCCCTGATAGACACCAGCCCTGCCCTGGGCCTGAACCCACACTGTCTGTATTTCCTGAATGGTTTATCTGTGAACTTGCCATGTGGACCGCTGTATCCTGCTGCCGCCCCTCTCCTGGTCTCGCACTGCCACTGCATGGCCTCCTGTCACTGAATCATGGCCTGTCTCAGTTTGTAGTTTCTCATTAAATTGGCCCTTACACTCCCCCGTCCTGGGACTCTGTTCTCTTGCCTGGCTTCCTTCTTTTGCAAGGGAAAGAGGGAGGGTAGACTACAGGTAGTCTAAGGGCAGGGGGTCGAGTCCTCAGGGTCTCAGTGCTTATGCCACACTGACTGCCCAGGGATGACACTGACGTTTAAGTACCTAATTAAAACAAGCCAGAGGGCCGGGCCCGTGGCTTAGTGGTTAAGTGAGCGCGCTCCACTGCTGGCGACCCGGGTTCGGATCCCGGGCGCGCACCGACGCGCTGCTTCTCCGGCCATGCTGAGGCCGCATCCCACATACAGCAACTAGATGTGCAGCTATGACACACAACTATCTACTGGGGCTTTTGGGGGGAAAAATAAATAAATAAAATCTTAAAAAAAACAAAAAACAAGCCAGAGTCCAGTGTGGACAAGTCCTGGGATTCCAGCTGTGACCAGGCCAAGGCATGAGTTGGCTTCACCAGGCTGTAAGGTCATCTTACTATCTCTGATACTGGTTTCACCCATCTGCCCACGGATCTGCAGCTGGAGCCCCCCAGCTCAAACTCAGGGTCATCCCACCCTTTAGGCAGGTAGCTTCTCACTCCCTTAAGCAAGACAGAGCCACTGGGGCTGAGGCTTCTGGTCTGAAAGCTAATGCGGCAGGCAGTCTGGGCCCCCAGGTTCTGGGCCCACTCTGCCCCTACCTCTCATCTGAATTGTAAAGGTATGTAGGCTCGGTCAGTAGGTGAAAAAAGTTTCTCCACCATTTAACCCTTTTTTGAATAAAACTTTTGCACATCCTTAATATATAAAACAGGTAACAGACTCCTATTAATAAAAATATTTAAGTTCACATTTCTATTTTAGACAATCGTTATATAATACACGTATATGTTTTATCCTTATTTATAAAAAAAATTTCAAAAAGCAGAAAACCTCCAAAGCACTTCTGCAAGTTAGAAAACCACAGGACCAGATGGACTTGAAGGGTCTTTAGGAGACAGAGTGACTTTGCCTGGAAAGGGGGGCTAGAGGAAAGTGACCAGCCGTGTGGGGAGCACAGGAAGGGGAGGAGGGGGCTGCAGGGGGCCGGCGAGAAGGATGACATCCGTGTCAGGAAGGAGGGAGGCAACTGTCAGAGTCCACTTTATTGAGTGCTGTAGCATTTACATAGGGCAGAGAAGAGAGGCCACAGCTGAACAACGCCCTCTCAGGGGTTTCTGCTTGAGAGGAATGAGGACTGGCTACCCAGGATGGAGCTCCCAGGGCCTCTGCCCCTCTTACCTCCCCCACGGGAGAGGACCCACAGTAGAGCAGCAGCATTTGGGGAGGCCCCCCTCCCACCCACAGATCTATGGAAGCCTGGGATTGCTGACTGCTCTGCTCCCAGCAGGGTAAAGATCCCCACCTAAATGCCAACACATCAAGGAAGAACAAAGGGAACAAGCCTCAGGTCAAAGGTGTGGGTGCCCAGCAAGCAGAGCTGGTTCCAAAGGCCCAAGTCAGCCCAGTGAGCTGCATCAGCTGCTCCTGGTGCCACAACCTGGGGGCTGCAGGGAAGGTGGGGCCTCAACCCAGCTCAGCATCTGACCTGCAGAGAGGATGCTGACAGGCAGAGGCGTCAGCGTCTGGCTTTTATTGGTTGCTTGTTTTCTCAAACCCATCATTAAAAAAAAGTCACCTGAGGTGGCAGTTTAGTCCCAGGTGGAGGTGGGGGCGGGCCCGTGGTCGCTCAAGAGGAGGGCGCCAGCGTGGTATGATGGGTCCTTCACATGTAGTACCAGGCCAAAAGGCCAGCAGCCAGGGCCACGCCAGCGGCCAAAATGAATTGGAGGCTGGGCTTGCTCAGCACAGCCAGGGCTGTTCGGAAGGGGCAGCTCCTGCCCTCCAGGGCACCTGTATAGCAGCACCAACAGGGGACAAGGCATCAGTGGGGGACGCTAACATGCCCGCCCTAGGGGGGTGAGGGGGTTCAGGACACACAACACCTACCGTTGTCTTGTTTAGCAGCGTAGTAGGGGCATTTACCCACATCTCCTTTTCCATCATGCAAGGGGAGCCTATCCTCCAGGGTTTCTTTGGCCAGCAAGGAGCCAGCCTGATCCAGTTCATTGAATATCTGCAGTAACAGAGCATTGACAGCCATCACTGCACTGTGTACACTCTGCTTTCAGAGAAGAATCTCTCCCTCATGCAGAGGGAGCTGGTGCAGGTGACGCTTGCTCAAGAGTGCAAACCAGCAGCCCAATCAGCACCAGGGGTGGCTGCACTGCCCTGGCACGAGCTCTAGGAGGGCTGGCTGCACCTGTGCTGCAGGTGTAGCACCCCACAGCTGCCGACTGTGGTGGATCTTCCATGGGCACTGAAACTATCAGGGCACAGACAGGAGAAAGCAAAAGCACTGCACACAAACACCCTGTGAGCATGCAGACCTCCCTACTTCCAGCCGCTGGGTATTCTTAGCAAGAAAGGATAGAAAAAGAACATGGGAAAATGAGGCCCCAGCAGGGAACACCCATCCTGAGTGGCCCTTGGAGTCCTGCTGACGTCAGACTAGGTGACGGGCCTGTGGTCAGGCTGGCACTTCACTCCCCGCAGGGTGACTCTCCTGGTGCTGAGTGCTGGTCTGGGCTCTGAGCACAGAATCAACCTCCCCAGGCTCAGCCCCATCTAATGGCTACTTGTAATCTGAGTTATGCTCCTCACTCTCCTTGGTTCTCTCCCTGAACTTATCAAGCAGGACTTTTCATAGCAACCCTTGCTAAAAAGGAAGTCTATTCCTCAAGACCAGAATGCTATGGCCTATTTGGTGCCTCAAAACTTCCTCTTGGGCAGACTATAGCTCATCTGTCCTAATGCACTCATGCCTATTCGGGGAGCTCTGGATTGGCTCCCGTCATCAGAGGCCCCCTTCCCTCCTGGCCCCCAGAAGTACCTGCATGTTGTACTCGAAGGCCTTGTTGGCCTCCTCCACGATCTTCTCTTTGGTCTTCAGGTTCAGGTCCAGGGCATTCATCCTGGCTCGGTACAACTGCTTGAACTGCTGCGCATTGTCCACGTTCTCAAACAGGTAGAACTGGGTCCCTTCCCCCGTGCTGGGGAGTTTCAGTGCCCGCTGGGCCACCTTCTTCAGCACCTGGCCCCCCGAGAGGTCCCCCATGTAGCGGGTGTAGGCGTGGGCCACCAGCAGCTCCGGCTCATTCTGCCCCACGAAGTGGATCCGCTCCACGTACTTTCGGGCAGCCTCAGAGCACTGCACCTGTTCCTCCCAGTCCTCACCAAAGAAATACTCCATGTCCTTGGTCAGCGCCTCCTTCCGGTGCAGCTCCATGGGGAAGTACAAGGGGGCAAAGGCTGGGTGGTCCTTGTTGCGGTCCATTTCCTCCTCGAGGGCTGAGTATGTGAAGTAAAGTGCAGTAGTGGCCAGCTGTTGGGGGTGGGGGAAGACCATGGGAAAGGGCTGCGGGCCTTGGCCAGCAACTCTTGAGCCCACCACATCCAAGCAGCTAGAGACAAAGGCTTGGGCAACAGCCCCCTTTCCAACCCCCAAAGGCCCATTTTTATACAGTGAACTATTTCACACACCCAGGAAGCTTTGTTTCCTAAAGGAATGACATGGTGAATTCTTTGGAATGTGGATACTTTTGCTTCCTTTACATCACTACATTATTCCATTTAAGCCATGAAAACCACAGTCTGACATCAAGAAAGAGTGGAGTGTGGAGAAAAGCCCAGCTTCCCCCTCGGAGCAGCTCCAGGGGCATCTTTCTTGTGAGATTAAGGCCTCCAACCTGACCCGTCCATGACTGAGGGCACAAACCTTAAATAGCTCCTTCTTGATGTTGCCCTTCAAGAAGTCCTTGACAAACTTGGTGTTTTCTGCCCGGTCGTGTGCTTCCTTGGTCCCTTCCTTCAGGAGCTCGGAGAGGTCACCCATCCTGTGGAGAGATGGTGTGTGTGTGTGTGTGTGCATGGGTGCATGTGTGAATTAGCCTTTCCCAGCTCCAGGGTGTCCACTGGCTGAGCTGGAGGCAGGAGCTGTTCAGAAACTCAACTCCAGCATGGACACAGGGTCTTGTCAGGGAGCGAAGGGCAGGCAAACGTGAGTCTACCTCAAGGACTTGGGTGACATGTGGGATGGCTGTGGCCTACTCTCAACAGTATCTATGTCTCTTTGAATCACCCAAATGAAAAATGCTTTGCTTCTGTGGCCACCTAGTGCCTGAAGAAACACACACTTCTAGTCCCAGCCCAGTGTTTGCTGGCTTCTCCAGGGAACAGCCAGCCTTGGGGAATGTGTCTCCTGGAAGCCATGTCACGTGAAGGACTGACCATGGATCTCCCAGGGCAGCCCTGCTGCCTTCCTCCCACCTTGGACTCACAGCCTCTTCAGGACTACATATGGCTGGGCCCAGACATAGGAGGATGAGAATGAAACAAAGGCTGGGTAGGTTGGAGCCGAGACCTAGGTTTGTGCTGCTTAACAAAATTACACAGGATAGAGTTGTGTCAATAGATGCCAGTAGCCAATACCATACAAGCCACAGAACACATGACCCTAAAGATGGTGGCACTGGGCAGGGGCTCATGTGTGTCTACACGATCATCCACTAGAGCGAGAAAAACTTGGCCTCTCGCAGCCCAGCCTCTGCTGGCTTCTTGAGGAGATTAGCTCCTATCACCCACATCCTGAGAGTCATTTATTATTAGCAATTATTTCAAGATACGAAAAAAGAACTTTGCCAATGACAAGGCTATAAAGAGAGGCTAAGAACGATGAAGAATAGACCCCAGTAACTTGAGGTTTACAGTGAACAGGCCCTAGCCAGTAAGAAAAACCTCTGGAGTTAGAGTTGCTCCCACATTCTAAGGGGTGGAAGACACTGGAAGAGGTGCCAGCTTTGCTTCTGATTACCCTTTCTCACCCCAGATGCCAAAACGCTGAGGGTTTTAACCTACAGGACCAGGAGTACCGTCCAATGCTATCACTCAGCAGTCCTGGCAGTAACTCTCCTGCCTCCTAGGGAATGAATGGGGGAGTGCTGAGCAGCCCAGGGTGCTGTATGCTGTCTCTGCAGTTCCAATCAGCCTTCCTGGGGGCTACAACAGCAGGGACTCTGACTGCACGCTGGTACCTCCAGCACACAAAGCCAGGTGTGCTGGGCATGGCAGGCCCTGGGCTCAGCTGACTCAACTCAGCCAGCCCCATCGCTCACCTGGTGTGGTTTTCTTTTTCTGGGGCCCCAGAGCTCTTTTTCTCTGACTCATCCAGCCCCTCTGAGGTCTCCAGTTCTGCTGACATGGTTGCCAAGTGTAGTTCTTGCTGCTCTCACTTCTCTGGTCCTGTAGAGACACAAGGAGCTGGTGATGTGGCGCCCACAGCAGTCACTTCCCCCAAGCACCTGCTGGTTCTGCTCTCCTCTGAGCCAACATAACAGAGGAGTCACCCATGTGCCTCAGGACTGTTTTCTTTAAAAATAAAGCTCTGCCATTACCGTGACCATATCTGAATATGGACAAAATTTGAATATAGACAGTGCATTAGATAATAGCACTGTAATGATGTTGAACTTGCTATTTTTTATAACTGTACTGTGATAGTATAAGAGGATGTCTTTGGTTTTAGGAAATACATACTGAGGTTTTCAAAAGTAAAGGGACATGCCGCCTGCAACTTACCATCAAATGGTTCAGAAAATGTGTGCGTGTGTGCCTGTGTGCGTGTGTACATGCATATGCATATGGAGAGACGGGGTTGGGGAGGGAGGGAGGACATCCGCAAATGAGGCAAAATGCTGATGGTGCATCTGGACAAAAGGTACACAAGAGTTTTTTTGTACTATTTTTACAACTTTTCTGTATGTTTGAAATTATATCAAAATTAAAAGTTACCTAAAACATAATAAAACATCACAGATAAAGCTTAAAAAAAAAAAAGCAGTGGTACAGCAGCACTGAGTTTGGCAGCAAGCGCTTCTGAGGCCAGCTTGTCCTACCTGTTAAGGGCTGGGTGGCCTTGTGCAGAGAGCAGCAGAGCTGGGCACTAACTGGAACATTAAGCCAGGCTGTTTGGAGCAGCTCTGCTTTAAAGCAGAGCAGCTCGAAAGGCACCCGACAAACTGCTCAGCTACACCGAGCCACCAAGCAAGCAGATACTCCCCAGCCTACTCCAGACTCCGCAGGGCTGAAGGAAAACACACAAGTTGGCCAATCAGCTCCTGCTGCCTGCTGCCAAGGATGAGCCTTCGTCAGTCAGGGAAATACAGTCCCACAACACGATAAGCTCATCCTCCACCCCGGCAGTGCATGATGAACAGCAGCACCACTGACCAGCAACTAAAGTAACTCATGAAACCAGAGTTACCAATGTTGGGGCCAAATCAAGACACGGAAAGAAGAGACCTTCATTCTCTACCTCAACCAGTATCTATTCACTGAGCATTTTCTAGGTGTCCATCCAGAAATAGGTGTCAAGGGGGGCAAGACGTGTAAGAAATGGTCCTTCAAAGGTATAAAGAAGAAAACAAAAACCAAACTGTCTCTCAGCCCACAGATATAACCACTGTTAATGTGCTGGTTCATATCCTTTTTGAGTTTTCTCTAAGCATGTAGTTATATCTTCTCCGTTAGCTTTTGGGATATTATAATGCATGGTTCGCTCAGCACGATCTTTCTGAACCTTCTCTTGCCTTTACATTTAGCATTTACACGATGGGATTAATGACAAGAAGGATTAAATAAGAACACGGAAGGTAAGACTTTTAGCACAGTGCCCGCCACGTAGTAAGCACTCAGTAAATACCAGATATGATTGATTGTACTTGTATTTTGATTGAGGCTTACTGATGTTGTCCCAGAATGCTTTGAAAATAAATAGCAGAAAGTGAAATAAGCCAGACAGAGAAAGACATGCATGGTATAACTTACATGTGGAATCTTAAAAAAAAAAAAAGGTTGAAGTCTTAGAGAGTAGAATGGTGGTTACCAGGGGCTGAGGGTGGGGCAATGGGGAGAGGTTGGTAAAAAGGTACAAATTTCCAGTTATAAGATGAATATTGGGCTGGCCCCGTGGCTTAGCGGTTAAGTGCGTGCGCTCCGCTGCTGGCAGCCTGGGTTCGGTCCTGGGCGCGCACTGACGCACCGCTTCTCCGGCCATGCTAAAGCCGCGTCCCACATACAGCAACTAGAAAGATGTGCAGCTATGACATACAACTGTCTACTGGGGCTTTGGGGGAATAAATAAAATAAATAAAATTATTAAAAAAAAAAAAGATGAATATTATCTAAGGATCTAATGAATAGCATGGTGACTATAGTTGATAATACTGTATTACATAATTGAAATTTGCTGAGAGTAGATCTTTAAGCATTCTCACCTGTACACTTTAAATATATTACAATTTGTCAACTATACCTTAATAAAGCTGGGGGAAAAAAAAGAAAATAGCAAAATATATAGAAAATGGGATCTTCTCTTGACTGCAAATCAGATATACTCTCCTCTCCAATAATGCTGATGAACTGTATGGTGCATTAAGTCCAGAACGCAAAGGTAGGTGGTCATCACATGGAGATAAGGGTATTCAGAGAGGCTTCCTAGAGAAGGGAGGAATTACCCAGGACCCTCAACTACAGACAGGATTTGGGGTGGGGGAGAGAAATGGCCTCTAGATCAAGGAACAATATGAACAAAGTAGAAATGGGACAGACTACAGAGATGGTGTAAGGCTGCCCAGCTATGACTCCTTTTACTCACGGGCCAAGGTAGACTTTGCCAGCTTCAGAATAAGCCCCACACTGGCTTGTCCATGCTAATCTCATTTTACAGACTTTTAAGAAAGCACATCTGAGCTCCACACCCTTGGGAACCGTGAGAGCCAAGATTTGTCCTGAGCTGCTCAGCACTCAGGCTGCAGAGAGAAGAGGGTGCTGGGATGGGAGCTCTGGGCCGGCCAGAGGAAGGAAGGGTGCAGTAAAACGTCCCAGAGCCTCTAGACAGGTGGCAGGCACACCTGGCCATGTTGAGGTCACACCCCAGGCATCCGAGGACTGCAGCCATCATGCTGGTTACAGGTGAAACTAAAAGTAGGCAAAAATAAGAACAAGTGCAACCTGGTTACCTCGGTTACCAACTGTGGTAAGAAACTTCTCGCACCTAATTATCATGCTTCACAATAGTGATTGTGTACGTGATTAAATCTGATCATTAACTGTTTCACTGGGATAATAACTGCATGCTCTGGGAGGGTGTAGTCTTGCTCAAGCAACAAAGCCTTTTGCTTCTCTTAAATAAAACACAGACACGGGAAGAGAATGTTGGCTTCCACAGATGCCCACCTTGGCATTTTCTTTTGTTCAGCAGCACTTTGTGCCAGTCTCCCCTTAGGCACACCCTCTGCACACCCTCTTCCACCTTGGTCCTGCCTGAGAGCCACTAATTCTCTCCTCCCAGCTCACAGAAGGCCCAACTCTGGCCCCAGGGTCAGGGCCACAGCTGTCTGTTTCACTGCTGTAGCTCCAGAGCCTGGAAAACAAACACTTGTTGAATTAAAAAACCCAAAGGAAAGAAGCAGGCAGGCAGGCAATGGTCTAATGCATACTGCCAACAACATGCTGTTAAAAAAACACACAAAAGTAACCTGCTGTCCACTACTTCAACAGTCCTCTAAACTCAAAACATGATTTAACAATTTTGCTTTGAAGGAAAGATAGATACCGGCTTATCCCTCCCCAGCAGCAAAAATACTGAGTCCCAGAGGCCGATCCGGTGGTGCAAGTGGTTAAGTGCACGCGCTCCACTGCGGCGGCCCGGGGTTCGCCGGTTCGGATCCCGGGTACGCACTGATGCACTGCTTGGCAAACCATGCTGTGGCGGCATCCCATATAAAGTGGAGGAAGATGAGCACGGATGTTAGCCCAGGACCAGTCTTCCTCAGCAAAAAAAGAGGAGGATTGGCAGATGTTAGCACAGGGCTGATCTCCTCACCAAAAAAAGAAAAAAAAGGAAGTCACATAGCCTAACAATACAGGGTAGGACTGCACAAACAACAGTAAACAATGGAATCCTGGCACAGCTGCAACAAGTTGATGGGATGCATCCATGCATGGAAAAGTGTACATAAACTTATTTGTTAAAAAAAAAGGACCCAAACACTGACTACAACTATGTGCAAAACTATGTAAGTATACAGATGTTGACAGGAAGAAAATTTGGAAAGCTATAAATACTTGTTATTTGTTGGACTTTTTAGCCAATTGGCTCCATTTTTTATATAAAGTGGCTCAATTCTCTTGAAAAGGGGGAGGGAAAGACAGGGAAGAAGGGGAGAGAGGGACAGAGAGACAGAAAAAGAGGAAGTGGACCAAGCAAACCAGCTAGAACCCTGTACTGCACTAACTACTCATCAAGAAGTCCCCTGGGCGCTTTACTTTGCTCTTACAAATTCCAGAAAAATCAAGTTGCTCTCTCTCTCCTCTACTTCTAGAAAACTGTGACCCTCTGTTTATAAAATCTACCTCCATAAATTCAAAATTCCTGAACTCCTAGCTATTCACCTGATCGCTACTAGTTTTCACTCCCACAAGTGATCTTACAAAAGTGGCAACAACCTCCCTATCACCCATGTTCGTTCCAGCAAAAGAGGTTCCTGTAGTCCTGCCCAGTAGATCCAGAACACCTGTTTCAAAGCCATTGCTCCTGGTAAACTGCAGGCTCAAGGCACTAGGGCTTCTGAAAGAGGAGACATATTCAATGATGTTAAATCTTCCTCCATGGAGACTCATGTCCATCAAACTCAGAAGGTGTTAGCTTAGTGCACTGCAGCCAGATAGAAACATAATCTAAGGACTACATGATCACTCATCCCCCATCTGGTGATCCAAAAAGGCACTATGAAGACTTCATCTATAACAATTTTCTTTTTTCAACCTCATTGTTTTTCTTTGCCCTGGAAAACCACAACTGAAAGAAGGGAGAAGACTGCTGAGCTGGGCCAGCACTCAAGAGGAAGGTGGGAGAAGAGGGAAGGAAAGGCAGGGCAACCAGCGCCCTGGAATTAGAACAGGAATTCTCCGCCTGACTCTGGAATAGGTACATTAGACTGTGACCAGCTACTGTACTTCATCAGATACCCACACCATGAGCTAGCACTGTTATCCCACATGCGCAGAGGACGAAACAGCCAGAGGGAAGCTAAGGGGCTGCTCCCTCCTGGCTGAACAGCTTGTGGCTGGGCATCAGGAGTCCCTGCCTGCTTCCTAGAAGGCTGTTAGCGGCTCAGAGTTCACTGCTGTATAGAACTGGCATCACATTAATAAGAGGTGATCACTCTTCGGCTTCCACAAGTGCCATTGTCTTGTTTCCCCAGTGAAACCAAAAGCTTCCCACAAGACACATTATCAAGATTCCCTCAGACTCAGATTCTCAGAGTCCAATACCATGTTCCAAATCACTCACAGTTCTGCACCCTGGGGAGTCTCCAACCTGAGTTGGTAACTGTTTCAGATGCACAAATGGAATGCCTACTGAGAAAGCTAGCAAAATGAAGACGGTGTGTATGGGTAACAAGAAAATATTGGTTAAATTCTAAAATACCAAGTAAAATAATAGAAATTTAATTGGGTACTATGTCTCTGAATCAACTTGTATGAAATCTGGTTTTATCTTGCTTCAGATCTCCCTCCCTCCCTTCTCTCTCTCTCTCTCTCTCTCCCCCTCTCTGCTGGTGTGGATTTTCTAACTACCGACTTATGAATATTTCCCGTGCCTCAGAGCCGGCCAAGGCCATTCTCATCCTATAGGACCCAGGTGGTTGGCTCCTGCTGGGCCCTATAGGATGGGCCTGCCTGTGTTGTGTTTTCTCTGCTACGCTCCCAGAGTCCACTGCTCCCCTCCCTGGGCTCCAGCAAGCCCAGGGTCTCCCCTGCAGTCCCTGCCCTCAGCTGCTCTCTCCACATCAGAGCTGGGCACTGGCTCCCCAGCCCCTCTCTGATCCCTCCACACAGGCCCAGTTCCAAGTCTACTACCCCAGTTCCCAGCCCTAAGGCTGCCCCTCACCTGTGTTGCCTGTGAAGGCAGGCACTCCATCAGGCTCTGGCTTCTTTTCTTAGCCAGTATTGTAGGTAAAGAAGCCTCTGGTTTCTTTCGTCTGAAGGCCTGTCCCTGGTCGTTGGTGCAGCTTCCTTCCACAGCCCAGGGCTGTGTGTGTGTGTATTTTCCACTCTTTCGGCTGAACAAATACCTTTCATTTGTATACATCTTTGTCTGTGATTCCACCCCACCCACTTACGTTGTGACATTCAGGAAGGTCACAGTTTAAAAATCATGTGTGATATGTGCCCCATAAATGTTTTTTAGATGATAAACACAGAATACAAGAATTCCAAACTCCTTTTCCTGGATTACAGGATCTTTTCCTTCTCTCTTTATATCCCCCTAAAGGCTTTTCACCTTTAAGTGAGAATACCTGATACTGTTTAACAATACCATAATCTGGCCAAGTCAAGTCTTAATGGTGTCACATACTCCCATCAGGCCTCAGCAGACATAAACAAATACATTGTTTATCCACCACTAAAGTTCTTTTCTGAATATCTGTCTACATAAAAGAGTAAATTCTAACACCCTACTTATAACCCTATATATGATCTGGAGAACAAAGAATGCTAGGGCTACTGTGGAGGGAAGAGCAGCAGGAGAGAGGAAGCCAGGGGCAGGAAGGTACATATCTTCAGAGCTCCAAATCTCTTTGGCTCTCTCCCTTTTTCACCTGTAAAATGGAATGAATACCTGCCCAGCGTTCAATACCAGAAGACTATTAGGAGGATCAAATAAGACAAAGACCATGAAACCACTTTATAACAAATGTTAAGTTATACAAAAGGAATTGAGAATGAACCCAGAGCTGTTTACTAGCTGATCAACCCTAGGAGACACTGGGTGAGCTTTTCAGACCTTGCTAAAACAGCAGGAAATTCTCAACAAGGGGAAGAAGCCCTGTTCCTGGATGCAGTGTGGAGATGAACTTGTTCTTCTTAGCACTGTTTAAAATCCAGTATTTGTTAAGGGTTAAACCCCCACATCAAGAGCCATTTGCATCCCATCCAGCAAATGGATGTGCAAAGGAGGTCTGACCTGTTTTCCACCTCAGGTAAACAGCCACTTGACTGGCCCTGCCCTGCTCTCTGACCTCAGGAAGACTGGCTTCTTGAGGGGGGACAAAGTGGGGTATTGGGGGGCTCAGTGGACTTGTCAGTCTACTGGGGCCACTTCTGGGCTCCCGCTTACTGGTGATTATTGCTATAGACCCAGCTCACCTTCGGGAATGGAAAGGCAGCTGGGCCCTGCACAAAGGGCATAGTCTTTAGAGCCAGAAAGATTTCGGTTTGAGATCTGGAGTCCCAATGCTTAGTAGCTCCATGGCTATAGGTAAGTCATAACTTCTTGAAGGCTGAATTTTCTTATCCATAAAACAGGGTAACAAAACTCTCTTTGCTCCGCATTCTCAAGTGTGCTGTGAGAACTAAATGAGCTAATGTGTGTATAAGTGTTTCATGAAAATGTAATGCTGCCTCAAATGTTGATGATCTATTGAGAAAGTTGCTGATGAAAATGAGCAGCTGAGTGATTATGAATCACTGAAGAAGAATGTGGAATCCACAGATAATTCTGTGCAGGTCATACCCGAGGATGTCTGACTCAGCCTTCATTCTCTGGCAATGTCAGGAAATGGGAATATCTGTTCTTTCCAAGGTGAGACATGTGACCACTGCAATCAGAAAACACATTGCAGGGCTGGCCCCGTGGCTTAGCGGTTAAGTACACACGCTCCACTACTGGCAGCCCAGGTTCGGATCCCGGGCGCGCACCGATGCACCGCTTCTCTGGCCACGCTGAGGCCGCGTCCCACATACAGCAACTAGACGGATGTGCAACTGTGACATACAGCTATCTACTGAGGCTTTGGGGAGAAAAAAAAAAAAAGGAAGAGGATTGGCAATAGATGTTAGCTCAGAGCCGGTCTTCCTCAGCAAAAAAAGAAGAGTAGCAGCACGGATGTTAGCTCAGGGCTGATCTTCCTCAAAAAAAAAAAAAAAAAGAAAGAAAGAAAACACATTGCAGATGCTGCTCAATGCTTGCTCAGCCAGATGTTGGGAGCAGTGGATGGGGTTGAATCAGCTCTAACCCAACAAGGCACTTGATAAGAGGGTCCTTCCAAAACCCTGAGGAAATCACATCATCTAGGTCAACAGCTTCCGAGTTTATAGAATAAATGGCCTGAAGTCTCCTCTGAACTCTGGTGCTGCCACTCCTCAGGAAATCTTAAACACAAGCGTCACCCCTTTCATTTTAATCGCTGAGTGAATTCCATCCCACAGTTCATTGAATGGATGACTATTAACCTCATGATAAAGAGTAACTTCAGACAAGGAATCCCGGAAAAGTGGGGAGGCTAAGGACACAAAGCTCTTGCGTCAGATTTACTAAACACACAGTTGCACATTTGGGCAACAAGCGACCAGAAAGCAAAACAACTGCTAACTCGTCTAAGGGCACAGCCTCTTAGTAACCTCAAAAAATGACATCACTGAGGAAGTCCAAGACTTCTCTGGCAGGCTTTTTTTTACTGGGGAAGGAGGTGAGCTCATCTCTAGCATGTTGAAATACAATTGAGCAAGTATTCAGAGCAGACACCGAGGACAAACCTGAAATACCGAAAAGAGCTCAGAGAAGGGGCCAGGAGTCTACTGTTGCTGGCGGTGAAGACGAGTCCTGGTAAAGAACACTTTCTACCATGAAGGAAATAAATACAAGACCCGCCCTGTTCCGAGTGCCACCTCACCTTATATTAGAGGACCCAGTCTCAGGGTTGGGAAGACAGACTCTAGTCCCATGAGAAGCACCTCCGGGGAGGTCGGGGTGGGTGGGAGCTGAAGCTCTGATTGAATTCTAAACCTGTTAGGCCATGATTTTATAAGAACAAAGCCTAACCAACAGACATCCCACAGGGCTGGTTGTAACAGAGGAAATGCTGACGAGGTCACCCCTAGGTACCATCAAGCAAAAATTATCCAACTTTGGAACAACCTTGAAAGTATGTGTCCTGTGGATTAAGTAGAGTCAGTCATATTTTCCTTCACTCAGGTACAACAATTGTCACCTGTGGCTTCAGGTTCTCTCATAAATGATGACTACCAGCAGCATTTGGAGGTGGAAGGAGAGTGTGGGTAGTAAAGATACTTCTGCTGAATTTCCATTTTGGAAAACCTAGAAGTGCTAACAGCTCCCAGGTGCTTTCCTCTCTACAAACAGGCTTGACAGAGCCTTAGCAGCATCCCTGTAGGGGCAGAAGGCCTTCAAGTTCACCCAGGAGAGGGTGGTGCAGAGGAAGAGCACTGGACTAAAGTCTAACAAACCTGGGCACACCAGGCTAAGTCACTTTCAAGCAGGGTCCCATTGACTATGAAGAAACTAAGATCAAGAGAATTAAGTAACATGGCCAAGGTCACCCAGAGTGTTAACAGTCAAGCTGGGACCAAACCTGAGTCATCCTGAATGCAAAGTGATTTCTCCTGTGTCCCCAGCTAACTTTCAGTGGTACATGCATGTGAGATTAGTATGGTGTCACCACAGATTACTAGCAACATGTAAAGCGAGGCTATACTACACTGCATTTATGCGTGCAGTGGAGGGGTTTTCTAAGCCACTGAGTGCCATTTGTTTTTTTAGTATGAAAAGTGAGCTGAATCGTATGATTTCTGAGAAGTAAATGCTCAGGCTCCCATCTGAAGATCCAGAATCTGCTGCTGCCCATCCCCACAACACTCACCTTGGCTCACTCAGATTACACGGCAATTCGAGAACACTGTTCTCTGGCAAGCCCTAGCAGGGTAGGCCAAGGCTGGAGATGGTTGGTCCCAAAGGGGAGGATGGCATCCCCCATCACTTGGTGCCTAGAGGGAAGCAGCCAGGTCTGCCAGGCCTTAGTGGACAATGAAGCCAGAGGCTCCAGCATCCCTGCACCAAGGGGAGGTTACAATAGAGTCTGCACAGCTATATAACACCCATCACCATAGTAACTACCGAGAAATAGAAGATCTGGTTTCAAGAATCTAAAAGAATCTTCCATGTGTTGAATGTTTAAAATCTATTCAGTCCTATCTTTCTATCTACTGAAAATATATTCTGCCTTGGAAACAGCAGTGTCATGCATAAGAAGTATGTCAACATAAACTTCTTATAAGATTAGCAACTCTATAAGCCCAAGACATTGGTCAATCTAATGAGGTGGCTCCTATATCTCACTTGGACCTGTAAAGGATCTTGTTCCCACAGGCCTAGGGAGTTAGGTATTATTCTCAGCCTTTTTCAGAATAATTGCCTAGATTCTGGTAGCGTGGGGGTGGGGAGTGGGGGGTTAACTGGGGGCAAGGAAACAAGCCCAGACTAAGAACTGGTAACTCCAAGGGGTTGGCCCCCTCTTCCACAGGCTTGTGTTTGTGGTGGCAGGGGACCAGCAGCAGCAGCAGCTATCGGACTTTCTCAGAGTAAGAGGCTCGGCTTCCCCAGCGTTGCTGGCAGGCCATGCGTCCAGTGGAGGAGTGGTCAAGGGCACAGAGCAGTCAGCCTGCTGCCACCCTACTCTCTGGCTCCCTGTATTAATGAACGAGGCAACAACAGCTCCTAGGAATGAGAGTTCTCAACTGTTTTCCTCCCTCAGTATATCTGGCCTGATTTGTACCTGAATGACAACGTCCCACAGGAACAGCCAGGGGCTGGAGTGTCGAGAAAATATATTGCAGGCAATGTGAAATGACCAGCAGTTAGTTATAACAGCAGCTGTCTCTTCTACACTAAAAAGCCTCTCAGAATGAGAGTTGACTTACAGGGATAATCTTTAACTCAATAAAACTTACTTTTTTTAAAACACAAAACATTCATAAACTTCACCATTAGTAACAAATTACTTGCAACATCCCTCAAAACCACACTTAAAAGGCAAAAAAATCCAAGTGGCACAGTGATTACTTAGCAAAATGTCCTTAAACTCTCTTTCTAGATACTCCAGCTCTTCAGTGAAGCCTTCTAGGATCAAAGGGAAGAGATAACAGATCATTATGCATTATTCTGCCTGGTCTATGTGTGAAATTCCACAGCTATGCGCTTTACTTTCCTCACTAGTATGAAATTCCCAGGATACAGCCTCCCCAGGCAACAGTCACTGGCAGTAACTCAGTGTCTGTATAAATGCCATATGTGACTATTAATTTAGATACAAATGTAAGTGTTTGTATTTCAGTATACATACATCCTATGAGCCAGCCCTGGTGGTCTAGTGGTTAAGATTCAGTGCTCTCACTGCAGCGGCCCAGGTTTGTTTCCAGGTCAGGGAACCACACCATCCGTCAGCCGTCATACTGTGGTGGCTGCGCGTTGCTGTGATGTTGAAAGCTTTGTCACTGGTATGTCAAATACCAGCAGGGTCACCCATCATGGTTTCAGCAGAGATTCTAGACTAGAAAGACTAGTAAGAAGAACTTGGCCACCCACTTTCAAAAAAATTGGCCATGAAAACCGTATGAAGAGCAGCAGAGCACTATCTGACATAGCGCTGGAAGGTGAGAGAGGATGACGCAAAAAGACTGGGCGGGAAGACGTGCAGAAATGGCACCTCGCAAGGGACAGGAAAAGAAGGAAGAACAGGTCATCAGCCTCAGACCTCAGGTGGCTGAAGGAGAAAATGTATTTGGTGTCTGCCACATCTCTGTCTGCATCCTTCAATGACACTTTTGTCCATGTCACTGATCTTTCTGGCAAGGAAACCATCTGCCGTGTGAGTGGTGGGATGAAGGTGAAGGCTGACTGAGGTGAATGCTCTCCATACGCTGCCATGTTGGGTGCTCAGGACGCGGCCGAGATGCAAGCAGCTGCACGTCACTGCCCTCCACATCGAACTCCAAGCCACAGGAGGAAACCAGGACCAAGACCCCCGGGCCCAGGGCCCAGTCAGCCCTCAGAGCCCTGGCCCGCTCTGGAATGAAGATGGGGCAGATTGAGGATGTCACCCCCATCCCCTTTCATAGCACCCACAGGAAAGGGGGTCGCCATGGTTGCCATCTGTGAAAAGGCCTCCTCAAATAATTGTTTTCTGTTAATAAACTGCCTTCAGGTTAAAAAAAAAAAAAAAAAGGGCCGGTGCGGTGGGGTAGCAGTTAAGTTTGCGCGCTCCACTTCAGCAGCCTGGGGTTTGCAGGTTCGGATCCCAGGCGTGGACCTACGCACTGCTTATCAAGCCATGCTGTGGCGGCATCCCATATAAAGTAGAAGATAGGCACGGATGTTAGCCCAGGGCCAAGGTTCCTCAGCAAAAACGAGGATGACTGGCAACACATGTTAGCTCAGGACTAATCTTCCTCAAAAACACAAACAAACAAAAGACCAGGCAGGGTTCCACTCTGCTATACACAGGGGCACTAGGAGTCGGAATCAACTCCAGGGCACTAACAACAAACAACAATACATCCTATGACGTGGAGACTGATTCCCCCCATCTCAAAGTTTCTAGAAGATGGGTTCAACAAGTTTAATAGCAGGCATATGCACAGAAGTCCTTTCTGCACAACACAACACCAAAGGAGTTGAGTGAATGAGTGAAGATGATCTCTAGAGCCAACATATGGTAGGCACCCAACAAATGTTACCTGAACTAAGCCCAGCCAAGGGAGAATCCACTGGCCACACAAAGGCCGAGAGGCAGCACAGGGATGTGGTTAAAGCACAGCCTCCAGGGCCGGCCCTGTGGTTTAGCAGTCAAGTGCCTGTGCTCCGCTACTGGCCACCTGGGTTTGGATCCCGGGCGCGCACCGACGCACCGCTTCTCCAGCCATGCTGAGGCCGCGTCCCACATACAGCAACTAGAAGGATGTGCAGCTATCTACTGGCGCTTTGGGGAAAAAAAGGAGGATGATTGGCAATAGACGTTAGCTTAGAGCGGGTCTTCCTCAGCAAAAAGAGGAGGATTAGCACGGATGTTAGCTCAGGGCTGATCTTCCCCACAAAAAAAAAAAAAAAAAAAAGCTCCAGTCAGGTACAACAGAGAACAGACCCTGGTTCTTCTGTATACCAGCCAGGTGGCCTTAGCTTGGACCAGCTACTTAACCTCTTAAGAGTCTCAGTTTCTGGGCCGGCCGAGTGGCGCAAGCAGTTAAGTGTGCGCGCTACACTGTGGCGGCCTGGGGTTCGCTGGTTCGGATCCTGGGAGCGCACCGACGCACCGCTTGTCAAGCCATGCTGTGGCGGTGTCTCATAAAGTGGAGGAAGATGGGCATGGATGTTAGCCCAGGGCCAGTCTTCCTCAGCAATAAAAAAAAAAGAGGATTGGCAGATGTTAGCTCAGGGCTGATGTTCCTCACACACAAAAAAAAGAGTCTCAGTTTCTTCATCTGTAAGGATAGTAACAACAACTCTGCAAGGTAGGTATGAGAATAATAAATAAATATAATAATAAATAAATATAATAATAAATAAAATAAATTACTTATAAAACTACATGTCATATGATGATTAATAAACTAAAGAAAGTGTCATTTCAAGTTTAAAGTTAACAAATGTTCCCATATACTTTTAGAAAAGAAATGGAAATACCCATCTCTATATGAAAGGCCCTACAGGTAGCATCAAATCTATCCTGTGGTCACAGACTTTGAGCTGAAGGCTCACTATGAAGAATCTCTGTTTTCTGATAAAATTTCTGTATTCTGACAATACTAAATACCAAGAAAGGAAGAGAAAAACCTTGGAATGTCTAGCAAAATAAATTTTGCGAAGGACCTAAAAGAAGATAGTTCAAACTCTTTCAAGGAGACTCTGAACATGAGTTAGGTGAAGTCCCTTTAATGCTACAGAAAGTCAAGATGGGGAACAGAGCACATTATGGTTTTGTTTCTTTAGAGCAGCTCATCACTATAAATAAAGGTTTAGGTAACCGAAAAATTTACTTGATACTGTGACAAATTTGATTTGCATTTATATCTCATGACAATCAATCTCCAACCCAGTGGTTCTCAGCTGGGGGCCATTTTGCCCCCAAGGGACATCTGGCAATGTCTGAAGACATGTCTGAGTAGTCACAACTGGGGTGTGGGCTGTGCTACTGGCATCTAGTGGCCAGAGGCCAGGGATGCTGCTCAACATCCCACAATGCACAGAAAGCACAAGCACAAGTCTGCACGTGGACCACCACCACCACCAATTATCCACCCGAAAATGTCAACAACACAGAGGCTGAGAAATCCTGCTTGAACCTCAGAAGCAGTGCTAAAGTAGTTCAAGAAGAGACATGAGTCTAATATGCTTCTCAGCTCTTCATCAGTTTACAGAGAGACAAGATGAGATTTGTTTTGGCACTATGCTTCATGCCTTCATCAAATATCCTTTACAGAGATTTCTGGGAAACTCAATTTCCACCAGAAAACAGAAGAGGCTGTTAGGAGGTGGGGCCACTTGGCACTGTCCACAGATGACAATGAAAAGGGTCACAGCACCTTCCTGGGAACAGGACTGATTTGTACTTGGATCTCTAGGAGGCGAAACCTTTAAAGCAAGCTCAGTAACGAAGCCAAGCAGAGGTGAAGCCCCTCACAGAAATGTGTTTACTGACTTCTTTGTGGATTGGGACATAAAACTGTGAGAAATCTAATTATTGTTTATCAGTCCAGTGTCTGACTGACAAGTAGGTTAAGAATCAGGAGGGCCGGCTCCGTGGCTTAGCGGTTAAGTGCGCGCGCTCTGATGCTGGCGGCCCGGGTTCGGATCCCGGGCGCGCCCCGAGGCACCACTTCTCCGTCCAACCCGGGGCCGAGTCCCACGTACAGCAACTAGAAGGATGCGGACCTATGACGTACAACTATCTACTGGGGCTTTGGGGGGAAAAAAATGAATAAATAAAATCTTTAAAAAAAAAAAAAAAAAAAAAAAAGAATCAGGAGAACTAAGTTCTACTACCAGGTCTGTTACTAGCTAGCTATGTTATATGACTTCCCTGGAACTCCAACGTCCTCATTCATAAAACAAGAGGCACTTGTCAGTGAGCTGCAGGGAGGATGGCATATAACAGGAGGCAAAGCATGAAAAGCTATGGGCTTCCCCCAGCCATTTCAGCCAAAGCGGCTTCCCTATTCTCTGCTATACTTCCTCCGAAAATGGGGTTGTGCTGCTTCTAAAAATAAGGTCTAGAAAACGATGAGCTTGATGATCTTGGAGGCCTGATATTACATTAAGAGCTACCTAAGCAAGCCTTTTATGATCTATTATAGCACTTGTATCCTGTTACAGTATTTGTTTGTTTACACATCTGTTTTCCAACTCATTTTTCTTTATCTCCTACTGCCCAACATGAGGCACCTAATCAGGGTTTGCTGAATGAATAATTTCCAGAATGTGAGGTAGTCTCAAAATCGAGGTATTCTCAAAGAGCAGATAACAAAGAAGAAAGTTAAAAGTGAATCCCAGAAATAAGAAAAATGTCT